GTTTGTTGATGTTCGACTGCAACTTCTCTGCGTCATCATCGCATTTGACTTCACTCCATATTTTTATGTCATCCGCGAACATGAGAGCCTCGCAATTCACTTCGCTGATGCAGTCATTAACATAAATCAGGAAGAGTACTGGGCCTAAGACAGAACCCTGTGGGACACCACTTTCCACCTTTACCCATTCCGAGGTAGAATTACTAACGACGACTCTTTGTAGTCTGGAGGACAGAAAACTCCTGATCCACTTAAACATTCTCCCTTGAATCCCTACATCCCAGTTCTTTTGTAAAAGAAGCCTGTGTGGGACACTGTAAAAGGCCTTCTTGTAGTCAAAAAATATGACATCTACTGGAAAACCTTTATCGGTAGCTCGTGTCCATTTCTCGTGCGAGTACAGAACACTCGTTAGGCAGGAGCGCCCTGGGCGAAAGCCGTGTTGGGCATCGCACAATATTTTGTTCTGTTCCAGGTATTTCATCAAGTGTCTTTTGATAATGCGTTCCATTATTTTACACGCGATGCAAGTAAGACTGACAGGACGATAATTTCCGCAGTCAAGTCTTGAGCCTCCTTTATGGATCGGAGTAATGAGTGCGCACTTCCATTCTTCCGGGAGCTCGCCGTCTTCAAATGACTTTTGAAATATTGCGGATAAGGGTTTGCACAGTTCATTAGCAAGTTCACGAAGTGCTAGGGTGGGAATTCTATCTGGGCCAGGCGATTTGGCAGGTTTCAGCCGGAGTAACTCGGCCCTAACTATGGTAGATGAAAAGAGTGGTTCTTAGGGAGGGCACAAGCGGCGTGGAGTCCCAGCTTAAGGCGCTGGACAGAGGACCAAGCCAGCGGCGTGATACGTGCGTGAATTTGGACGGCCGACCGGCGTGCACTGCAGCGCCGAACACGTGTGGTGACTCTGCTCGTGCTTGCGGCCCAATTAATGGCAGCGCACGCGGTGTCCGACCAGCGAACGCACGCGCTGGGCAGGAATGTCCTATAAAGCCCTCAACGGCTGGCACGCCATTAGGTAGGATGTTCCAGAACATTGGGGGCCAAAATAAATAGGGCGTGTTTCTGACGAGCTATAACCCCTCGTGATCGCGCATTGTCAATAAAGTGCTTAACCTCCGAACCGGCGCACTTCCTGCCCCACATTCCTTCCGGGTCATAACAGTCGTCCCTAAGAGCATCGAATACTAACCTAAAAAATAATGTACCGGACAACAATTGGTCGGACTCCGAAGTCAATAACTGGCAGTACCTAAATATGCTTTCTCACCGTCAGTTAACCATCGTTTTATATCAGACTTCCTATTTCATTAGAAAACGCTGAGCGATGCAAAGTCCTAGTCTGGTCGTTTGAAAATTTGCCCAAAAATGTTTTTTTTAACTTACCAGGAAATATTGCTATTTATGCCAAATTTTATGACCACGTCGGTACGCAAGCCACTATTCTTTGTTTTCAGAGTAAAACGGCTGCACGTCTGACGGACCACAATGACGACTGTATCTTCCACACATGAAAACTAGAAATACAGATGGCTGTGTAATCCTATTAAGATTAGACTTAAATTTTCGTCCTGCGTTTCTATGAATACCACCTCAACTCCTCGTAAGCGCGAGGCAGCAGCATATGCCTGGCCACAAAGCAGTCGAACTCGGCATAGCTAAACCTACTCACAAATCTGTGTCGACGTTAAGTTTGCCGATGTTACTCCTGCCATCAGCGCTTTCGCGCCCGAAGGCAGACCGGAAGTTAGAAACATCATATTTTTCTGAACAACGCTCATGTGAGTATGCGACGATTGTGTTCCTTGATCTCATTCTCGCAAAATACCGTGTGTGGCGAAAGCGTATGCAGACGTCAGTGAAGTAGAAGATCTGTCAGACAGGTCGCATGGGCACGAAGGCTAACTAGTTCTACAGTTCGGATATGTGTTAACGTCTGAAACGAGATTTCCGTGCAGATCTGTGACGCGTCTAAAAGTCAATCGTTTCTCTTATTTCCGCCAATTTTGTGACTATTTTAATTCGAGTTTCGCGCCGTCAAACAAGTAAGTCTCAAATGTAAGTTTTAACATAGTGAAAAAGATCAAAAGATAACACGGATGTTCGAAAACGTGATCATGTTGAACGGGACAGTGGCCTCCGCGGTCCCGTTAGACACTGTCATTATGATAAGATCAGTTGCCAACAGCATATCAGCAAACTTCGTGCAATGTCTTCAGGCCCCTGTCTTACGCAGTTTGCGTCCTTTACTAATCCTTCCACAATCCAGCATTATGCTTTACTTTTATTTGTCCCTTACTTATCCTTCCTCGGTCCAGCGCTACCTTTTACTTATTCGACCTTCTTTTACATTTTAGGTCGACACAACATCACCGTGCCAGTCCGCTCTGTTGGTTACTGACCTGCCCGTTACAGCTCCCCAATCCTCACACCTATGCTGCGTAATTTAGGTCAGCAATCCGACTGACTGCCCTCTGGACGCCTAAAAATAAAACTATTGATGTATATAACGGTACTCACCTGCCCTCGAACTTCGATAAAATCATCACGTCTTTTCCTACCCACTTGTACTCTTACCTAGGTCGTTTCCGCGCCTTCTTTAGTGCTTGACTTGGGCTTCTACCGGTGCGCATACTACTGATCAGTCAAGCATTGGCTGTATTTTACAACCTTCTCGACACAAATTACCATCACAAATTTTATTGGTTAGTAATGGTTGGTGAACTTACGCGTGTTTGTGGCTGGATCAAATCGACTAAGTTGAAGGTTGTTTGAAAAAATCTTCAGTGGGCGCATTCCTCCTAAGTTTTTTTCACTTACTGACTTTCGCATGCGTACCTCGAAAAACAGGTTGCAAATAGTTTGCATCTTGCTGGGGCTATGGCTCCGGCGAAACGCCAGCCGAGTATATTCGGTTTTTTCTAGAATATCTAATAAATCAAAGAATTTGAGACTTCTAGACTTTAATTTTCATGTAATATAACGAAACATCACTGCCATGGACGTCTGTGCATTTATAGAACTGTAAGCATGCATGTTACCTGCAGTACAACTGTAATCAAATGGTGCAGATAATCTCGAAGCAAAAATCGTCTTTGCTTGTACTGCACAATAGCCCAGGTACGTCGTGAGCAAAACCATCGTTCGATCCATTTGGGGATCCGCTTAACATTGGTCTTATGAATAGGATATCTTTTGGGTAAATAAAAGAGAACGGACCCGATGATACCCTATCAGCTGCTACTGCTTGAAGTTAGTAAATAGGTGAAAGTAAACGAAGTTCTTTGTTTTCCGTATGCTTTCGGCTTTCAATACTATTCGCCTCAGCTCAAAAGGTTGCGAAGACCTCAGGGAAGTGGGGAAAGTAACAGTTGTTTCGGTTCGTAAGTACGGCAGCATGCTCTGGTAACACCTCAATTCTGCGCTCTTCACCCATCACCAATCTTCAATAAACCTCTTCCTGAAAAAGCCACCCATTCTGGATCAGTTCAAGCAGAATCCCAATTCCAGTGTATTTACAAAATTCACTGCGACTGAACTCTAACGGTCGCTAGCTGGCGGTTTACTCGAACTATAAGTGGTCGCATCTGGTTTCGCTAGGTCAATCTCTTCGTTTTAGGCTGGTTTTCACTAAGTCACTGAGAAGTACATCTCGGTTCTTGATAATTTTCTTTGAATTAAGGTGTTCCGTCCATTGCATTCTTTAGCTTGGGAATTATAGGCACACTGATGAATGCCACAGCTTGACCGTTCCGAGAAATTACGACTTCGCGACATTTTTATTTTGGTCTTGGAGGACAATCCTGACTTAGAAGCTGTGAACTCTAAATGCTAGCGATGTCTGTGCAGAAAACTGGTTGCAGTTTCATCTTATAATACCTTTTCTGATTATAACATGGTTTTAGACATTAAATCTCCTTATAAATGTGTCGAACTACCAATTTTTTATTAGTGGTTCTTAATCTATCTATTTAGATCTCCAGAAAAGGGGATGTGCCGAGTCTACCGCGGATTAGTATAATTTCAGTTCTCGCCAACCGGGCGTCGTCCAAGTAGGGTCTACGGACTTCTGCCAAGGCGCGCAGAGGACTTTTTAAGAGTTCGAAGGTGTCCCTGTTTGCTATTCTCTTGCTACCGTGTTAAGGCCCGTCGTGTATCTGACTCCACTGTACGAAGGGCTTCTGTCGCTAAATAGGACACTTAATCCCTAACCGCGAGTCATCTTATGCGCGAATTAGACTAGGACTCCTTATGACAAGTTTTCGAAATCTACCCCTAGTCAAATTTGTTCATCCGACGGGACAGAAAATTGACAACACTGAGCCATCGGATACAGTGCTTACGTTACTAATTGGACGCGGGAACTTCTATTGTTTATCTTCTTTTCCTATTCTCGTATAAAGCCGTGTTTCTTTTCCCATCGCGTATCTCGTTGCTTGCAACTTGCCACATTTCTAAAGCGCGCTGATGTACGCCAGCACTATTTAAGTGAAAGTGTTTATTGCTGCGTAGAATGGACAAATTTGCAACTATGGGGAGTTTGCGCGACTAGTTGTAATCTTAAAAAATATGGCATTTTTTGCCTTCGTCGATGCATTTCCATTTCAAATGGCGGACTTAATAACGTCGCTTCAAACACGACAATCTATTCTCCGGTGCTGTTTTTGATGGGCCAGGCCAACTTCTGTCAGTCTCATGAGTGTCTAACTTACTGTCGTTTCCGTGTCAGTCACTATCCTTAAAATCATACCTATGATGCGAGTAACTTAGGTAAGGTAGTTGAAATGATTTAGCATTTTTTTCTCTTCTGATCTACTTCCTCTCGCTTTCTGAATCTACCTTTTCATAACTTCGAAATGTAACCTACCGTAATCTGTTTCTAAATAGGCTTTCAATTTACGCTTTCGTAGCCCTCGCACAGCTCGCTCGCCACGTGCTAGCTTCATCTCCCCGCGGTTGCGTTAACTGCACTCGCCTGTCTCCACACTATGAAGTCGGCTCAGAACTGTAACATTTTCTAGCATATTTTTGACAGCAAGCAGTTTATGCAGAGCATGACCATGACGATCCATCCTTCGCTGGCGATATGAGAGATGTGCAGCTTGTCGCTGCCAATCTACCAATTAGGATGGATGAGAAAATTCCACTCTCTGTGAGTTTTGCATTTTTTACTGTGATTAGTATAACCTGAACAGAGGAGAGGTATTTAGACCTTTGGATGACTTTCTCCAGCTAATTGTTTACCATTATACCGGGCTTATTGCCGACTGCCAGTCACACTGATCCTCCAAGGTCATTCTGGTCTGGGAAGGGTTCTTGTCACTTTAGAAGTAGAACCTTTTGTCGTTATTTGCGTAATCTATACCCTTTGTAGATGATGTTGTGATCGTCACAAAACTTGTGAAACTTGCTTGCACTTATGACGGCATTCGCTTTGACGCGTTGAGCAAGTTTCCCGCTGTTAATTCATGATTTTGGGAATAATTGCTCTCCGCTGCCGTAGGTCAGTCAGAAGAGTCGAGCCGCGCCTTCCACCTTGTTCTGTTGTCAGCCAAGGCCGGATTTGAAGGAGACAGCTTACCAAACGATTTGTCCTTTAGGCCGGCACAGCCCACTTACCGAACCATTTCAGTTAACGAGATGGAACAGTGTTGTTGACTAGTTTTGCCCCTGATCAGCCATATTTGCTCGTTGGCGACGCCTCTTGGGGTACGTATTTGAAGACTAAGTGTGAGTACCGCCGATCAAACAGTTCCGGGTGTTGTATAACTTCTGGATGTATCGGCCACATTGCGCATCCATATTCAAAGGCTTGCTTAACTTATTTCCGCAGCCCAGTCTTCTAGTTAAGTGTGGACCAATTTCAAGAGGCTTTGAAGTGGTTAAACGAGGGTCACGTGTGCCCTTTTATTCGACAGTTTATTTATTAAATCTTCACCTTTGACAGTAGGCTCGACCATATCGTAGCATTTCGTATCAAATAGCCCTATTATTTTTCCACATGCCATAACTTGGCTGTTTTTGTGCCTCTTTGGGATTCTGACAATGATGTCGCCAGTACCGCAATGCCACCAGCATAGTCAACATCCACAAAGAATAAACCACGACCCACTTTAGCACTTGGGTTGGCTGCTGACGGATGCTTGTCGCGCATAATGTTTGAATAAATCGAGGTAACGTTGGTGGCTTGCCATCATACTGTATGAGCGACCAAAGGAACTGCCGACCAGCAGAGTCGAATGCAAAGAAAAAGCTCTCGAAACAGATAGGACTGTGTTTTTAGGTTGCCGTTCCTACAATGGGCTGCTCTGGGCAAAAATGGGGCCAGGCCGGCTCATGGCACGCGTTTATTGGACAGCACAGGATCCGCGCGAACCCGTAACTGTTGTCGCGCATGCGCATGTGACACACCCTAGACGTAGGACATTGCGTCCAATCCCACCGCCCATTGATTGGCAGTCTCGGACAGCCGATTGGTGCATGGGAGAGGGGAGATAGAGAGTGAGGCCGACACAGGGTAACTCACCATCGCGACACATCAGCGAATTCCTCACTATAATGATGCAGAGACGCTCAAATCTATCACGACGCACTAAGACTCGTGACTTAGAAGGTTGCCAACTGACGAAATAACTCAGGACCGAAACTCCGGTTGCAATGGCTTCTTCTCGATGTGACACTTAAAGAAGCCTAGTTCATGGAGTGGAGACCAGGTCGCGTGTCGCAAGCGTAAACAAGCTGCCTAACTTTGTAAACCACTGCGCTCGCGCCCACCTCCGATCGTGTTCATATTGTATTGCCACCGGCGCAAAGTGGGCGGTGGAAGAAGGAGTGCGGTAGATGCGTTGCAAGCCGACCTCACAATGAACTAATCCATATGTAGGCCACCAGTGCTGTGCAGACTCCGTGGGCCTGCGGCAAACATCCTCGTCCGCAACGGTCGATCTGTCACTTGAGGGCTTGGCCTTGCAAAAAATTCTGGCCACGGCAACTCCAGCTAGGCCGTAACTTGTCAGGCCGTCCTGATGTAGCTAGAGACGACAGAGGGATACGGTTAACAAGACATTTGCGGTCATTTTAGAGGATTCATGCCACGAAATTTCTTGAACAACGAATCTGTTGTCTTCCTTGAAGATATACATGGGGAAAATTTGGCCACGGCCTTATTTTTCCCACAAAAGGCCGCTTTCTACAGACCCTCAGTATAGAGCATTTGGGTCGTGGTGCGTAGCGACCGTGGGTCTGTAAACCACACCAGGAAGACACACAGGTACAATCCTCGGTAACACCGGTTTCCAACCCATAAGGACAGGTTCGGTCTGATTGTTACATCATATAAACCTGAGTTATCGTTGATTCCGCTTTAGCAAGGGGGTGGGTGCGTTTCTGGGCACCTTACTGTTATGTGTCATGGTCAGACAAGTGCACCGCAAAGGGACTAATAGCGTTCACCCTCTACCACGCCACCACTACCACCAAGGTTGCAAGTCAGCAGCGTTAAAATCCGCGATCGTCCGTACCACTGGCCGCACACCTTAACATGCCCGATATCCTGTCGCAGCTAGTGAAACTTTTTATCGCTCCTATGCGACTAAATTAATATCCCGCTTTTTGTCAGCCTCCTATTTGTCTGTCCAGACCCCAAACGCCGTCTCCAGTGACTGCACCTTAGGCGGTTTTTGCTCACAATGTGGTAGCTTGCTGAAGGCACTGGGAATCTTCGGAGTGGATTTTAAAAAGAATGCTGCACCTTCCATCGGGACTTGACGCGCACGCCTTCTTATTAGTTTAGTTGATTTGGCCGTGCCCCTCTCCATCCCAACAGAGTTTCTTTACTGACAGTGCAGCATTCTTTCTGCGTCTAGTGTTAAGAAAGTCGTGACTTGTTGCGAATTAGCTCATGTCTGAGTGACTAGGAAGCCTTTTTTGGCTTTTATGCGTGATGAACAGCGCGATAATTACCCCTGCATTCATACTCAACAGGCCCTATGCTTATCCCTACTGTCTGCTTCCTTTCCAGAATCGGATCCCAAAGTAAGTTCCCCCCATCCGCGTCCTCCGACCTGTCACCCTTCAGTTATGTCAGGATGTTGGACCACAGCACTCGGAGACGCGACTTCGACGAGATTAATTTTATCGGTGGTGGTGCCTTCTCCAGTGTGTATAGCGTAAGTAGACTGGCAGTTTCTTGTTTCACACCCCCTCCCCGCCTACTCGCTACAGGCAGTACACAGACTCGATGGCAGACGATACGCTCTCAAGAAGTTGACCAACATATCATCGAGGACTGCTTTGGTAAGTCCTATTGCCCTGTCCCTTATTCATCCTATCGTACGGCAGTTTTATTATGTTGTGGCGTGTTGCCAGAAGGCCTAACCTGTCGTCCGCTGTTTTTTTATTCAATCTTAGTCCAAAATGTCGAGAGAAATTAGAATTGACCAAGAAGACCGCAAACAGACTGTCATCAATGACATGCTTCGCCCCAACCAACTAGTTTCTCGGATTTAGGGCGATTTTTAGTCTACGTAGGACAGTCGGTGCCTTTTATATCACTCTGGGAATTTAAATACTCCTGATACCCTTTTGCATGTTATTTCTCGTTTCCCATCTTGGGACATTTTTACGACAAAGCCTACGGATATGTAGCTTCGGCGAGCCCCTTGATAGGAGTGCTCTCTCACATCAACAGACTGAAAGCCTTCGTGCATTGCTGTGATTTTATCGCCAAGGGCTGTACATCTTGCCCTCCTTTTCCAGAGGCACGCCAGAGAAGAGGTGGCTGTTCTGTCACGACTGGAACACCCCAACGTGGTTCGCTATTACACCTGCTGGATAGAAGCGGACATCTGGCCGCCCAGCCCTTCTGTAAGCTCTGAACCTGTTAACCCTTTGTTGGTACTTTCGCACAAGTCACTCGCAGTAATTGCAGTGCGTGACCGATCTCCTGAAATGTTTGCCGAAATTCTGAAATGCGTTTTCGATTAGGGAGGATTACTTGGGTGGGCTAGTAATACTGATAAGTATGCAGCCTAAGCCTATAGCATTTCGAAATCACTAGGATGTCGGCTTTTGGATGCACCCCTTTTGACCTTCTGCAGAAATCACACTCGGTAAAAACTGACTAATTAAGTAGCATGCATTCTTCCTATTGATTTTCAATGGTCTTGTAAATTCAAATATATTTTGTAGAAAACATGCACAAAATGTGCTTTCTTTTACTCCTTTGGCAGAAAATCACATTGTATTGATAGATGATGCCCGAAAAAGTGTATATTTGACTTTTGAAAATGTTTCTAATTATGAGATTTTTAAGACCGTGCAGTGTCCCTGCATACAGGACCGCACATGTCCGTTTCTCAATGCACCCACTGAAATGCACAACACAGTCCGGATCCATTGCAAAATTTTGGGAACCCTATGTAGTACCTTCTTAAAGGCATAGAGGAACTTGGGATTTTCCTTACGTGGAAAGCGTGCACCTTGTAGACTGAAATCGCCAAACGCCAATACAATGGCAGATCAGGCTCAAAATTATCCAGGAATTGGAAAACTTTTTAAAATCCAAATATACACTTTTTCGGGCATCATCTATCAAGACAATGTGATTTGCTACCAAGGGAGTAAAAGAAAGCATATTTTTGCATGTTTTATTTAAAATATATTTGAATTTACAAGGCCATCGAAAGTTAATGGGAAAAGTGCATGCTACTTAAGTAGTACGTTTTTACCGAGTGAGGTTTCTGCAGGGGGAGCGAAAAGAAGCTCAATCAAAAGCCGACATCCTGGCGAGCCTGAAATACTATAGGATTTTGCCGTATAATGATCAATACTACAACCCCACCTAAGTAATCCTTCCTAATAGAGAGGCATTTCAGAATTTCGGCCAACATTTCATGAGATCGGTCAAATGAAGCTTTTGCAGTTTGACCGGGACCGATACAGAACGCGAGGCCAGAATCAGCAGACCTGCCTCATCCAGTATCAGTGTAACAATGTGGACCTCATGGTTGCATATTACCCTCCATGAGTTAGGCCTTTAGGTAGTATATACTCGGGCCCTCCCAGCTCCCATGATTAGAGCGTAAACTGTACTCAGGCCTTGCCTTTGCCATCATAATTCCGACTCCCACCGAGGCCGCGGAGTACTACACATCTGTCAAAACAGCCTGGTGGTTGTTTGGCAGATTCTAAATCAACTTCTCAGAAAATCCTGCCTGTTCACTCAGTCTGTTGTATCAGAATTGCTACACTTCATTCATTCATTCAAATGTGATCACGCTCGCGGCCATTGGTCGAGGCCCTGTAGGTCAGGTGACGAAATCGTTGGCTATGTCTTGTGTTCGAATCTCACCGGTTCTGCCGATTCTTCCACAATTGGGTCAAAATGCGACAAAAACGCCTGTCAGCAGCAGCAGCAGCAGCATCGTGACGGAGGTCAGCAAGAGGCGGCCACCTACTACGACGCCAAGGGATTCCCTTAGACACCAGCAGAGGTACATGAACAAGCGCGAAGAAGATATTGGGACGGCAACGAGTCCGGCCTGCTCATTCCTTCATCGGCTAGCCCTACTCCACACTACCCTGCGCAAGTATACCATGTAGAGGGTCTACAAGCAAGGTGCACCTGCTGATTCTTGATCGCCACCAGGCTGAAGTTGATCAGTTCCTACTTACGCTCCAGTCCCCGACTGACTAGAGGATACTCCGAATAGAATGACAGAGATCGCGAACTTGTGGTCACCTCTTTGACCCACGAGCGCCAGACAATTAAATAGATGCAGAATGCAGTAGGCGATGGCTGAGACCATTCGTTTTTTTTGTTTCGCATTCCAAACTATCACCGGCCTTTCATATACTCATCCCTCCCTACCTTACTTTCCCTTTTCGCAGGACCCCCTTGTCAACAAGTCGAGGTAAATTTCACAAAAATTTCAATATTTCCTGTTTACTATTTCTATATTTTCTCCCTTCTGCATCTCCCGCCATTTTTATTGATTCCAGCCAGGCTAGAGTGTCTCTCGCTGAGGATGAGGAGGAGAGTGGAGATTCATCACTCACCAGCACTGACCACTCACAGGGCCGTTTATGGACAGTGGCAGGGAGTTCCGTGACCACGTCCTCCCCCTCCTGCTCGTCCATCAACTCAACATCGAACTCTTCTGGGGCAGCCATTAGCCTTCAGGTCTCCGACGAGGAGGAGATGCAGCTTGCTGTGCCTCGACCGGTATGCGCTTGACAGTTTACTTACTCATATGTGCATGGCACTTACCTCTATCGGCCATCTGTAGACAAACTCGAGTCCGGTTCGTTTGTTCCAAGTATCATAAACTCCCAAGGTCAAGGCCTGCAGTCAAATTACTATCCCTTGACAATTAGCGCCTCGTCATTCCTCTTTCAAATTCGTTACCGCTGCGTCTGACATGTGCAGCTTTTGAGGCAACCCTTACGATGGTCACATTGTTATCGCGTCCAGACCTTCGGAGCTCTTAATTGGACCATAATTTCTAACTCTCACAGCTCGCTGTCAAGTTTCACCTTCCGCTTCGGGCATCCGAAGCCGAAATATCCCGCGCAAATAAAAGTATTTAAGATCTCGGAGTATTTTACTAGGGTTAGATATACTGACTCAGTTGCCGTCCAAAATTGACGTACCGAGCTCGCCACGGACTTCAATCTATTCAAATGTTCTCGGAACACCACCAAATATGCGGATGACAGGGTTGTTAGAGTTAAACTGGTTGACAAGGACCGACAGGGCAACGGGCTCGTAGCTCAGTAGTTAGAGACGTGGACTTCTAACTACCAGACCGCGAGTTCGAGCCTCGGGCGTTCCACACTGCGGGGTTGGGTATGACTGGCTGACGACGGCTAATAAGCCAGAAATGGCCATTCCAGTCTCCCTTGTCTTTGTCGGTAATGCCATTCTATCTCGATTTCATTTGTTGCGTATGCAGTCAGACAACCAGTCAGCGGATCTTTCATCCCGCGTTTGTTATTCGACTTTGCAGGCTATACCTACCATAGCAAGTTCTTTTTTCCCTCATCATCACCCCTCAGAACAAGGCAGACAGCTCCACAGTGAAGGGTGGAACGCATTTAACTGTGACTGGGAACTCAGTAAAAGTCCCCATCACCCGTCGCGGCGTACGGTCGGACTAAGTCGCAGTTCTGCATCCTTTCTTTCCGTGACCTGCTGTATTAGCTCTCCGATCCTGTCTGTCTTCTGGTACTACAGGCAAGGTCAAGGTTGTGAACCCTGCAGAAGTTAACGAACACTCATAAATTTCCTGACCTCTTATTCAACCGCACAAACGGTCCTATTGCGAGCACAGATGTGGCGCTCCCTATGCTATCCAGAGACCGCGATGATACGGAGGAGAAAACCAGAACCGCGTATGCAGTTGGGTCGCGTGCACCACTTCATACTGCCATGGTTAGATCGAGTGATTTATATAAGCCCCCCCCCCTCCTCGTCCGCAAACCCCCTCCACATAACCAGTTATTGTTTAATGTCGTGTAGTCCCGACCACACTGGACTTGACAGCCTGTCAAATCCAATGTTTTCCGTCTCCTCCTCCCCTTCTGGCCCACACCTTCCTCTTTCCCAGTCTTTATCGAGTCTGGAAAGCCTATTGCACTGAGTGGTACTGTGAGCCGTCCTACCTTCTTGTCAGATCCGTGCTTAGCGGTCTTCGTGCACATGACTCCGTATACCAACTTTGCCTATTTCTCCCTCTTCGGCGTCCCTCAGGCCTCTCGTCTACGTCTACCCAAGCCGTCGCTTTTCATCCAGATGGACTTCTGTCATTCCACCCTTGAAGATTGGTTGCGTCAGCGCAACTCACGACTCCTCTGCACCAATGAGCTTCCAACCACTGCGGCCGTTGCCGAATCAGGCCTAAGCGAGGCAGAGAGCCTATTGCGAAGGGCACCCTGGTCGGGACTCAGGCATGCCCCTGTGCGATGGTTGTTTGACCAGATTGTCAATGGGGTCCATTACCTCCACCAGAATGGCGTGCTGCACAGGGACTTGAAGGTAGGTCTTCGTTTCCATTAGAAGACCTTCCTTGTCCCACCGCCCCCCCCCCTTTGATGCAACTGCTGTTGTTTTTTGTTGCTGTTGGGCCTCGGGAAAAGTTCAGCTAAGGCTTACAGGCCATATCCCTCTGGTTGTCCGGTAACTCATTTTGGCCGCAACTCTCCGGACAGCGTATGTGTGGAGCGGTTTGGTGAAGGAATAGTTTTCTATAGTGTCGCAATCCGAGGGCGGATGTCCCCACCAGCAACTTCTCCGACATCAGGGGGTGTATTGGACAACGGCAAGTAAAGCCCCATTTGATGGCGGACAACTTTCACCATAATACCGCTGTATCTCGTGACGTTTCGTATGGATTGCCGGTTTTCCAAGTAGGTGCCCAATCATGCATGAGATCATGGTCCGCGAATCCTTACTTTTTGCATCGCAAAGTTAGCTTATTTCGCAGCCAGTATTCGCTGAAGACCGCACCACTATGCGCTACTTGCGAACTCGCTGGGTAGCTTGCGGTTAGGCTAACAGATAGGGCTTGTTTTCCCGGATTACTGTCATTCCGGGATACGACTACCAACCAAACCATGTCGACGGTGATGGTGTAAGCCGACTTTTAGAGCCGCAGACGATCCGTGTTCTAGCTTGTGTCGATCCTTAATTATGCTGACGTTGACACTGCCTTTCTCCTGACGGACTATAATCCAAAAGAAAGGGAGGCGTTCACCGGGAGAGGTGTATTGGGGGTCTGACGTTTCGGGTACTTGTTTCGTCTACCCAACTTCAGAGACCGAGAAGTCATGCGCGCAGCTCTCCTGATATGGCGCACTTTGTTTGATGCGTGGCCCGCCGATGGCGCCTATGTGGCTGTATCCGACCCGCATGTCTCCGTGACCTGAATCGCCCCCGCCCTCATCGGCTGCGGAGACAGTTGACGGCCCTGATTGTCTCGCGCCGTGACTGCGCCCCGTTTAGAAGGTTCATAAAGTCAGATAGGGCGAGGCAAACTGGTGTAGCGCTTGACAGAGCAGTCGTGGACATCCAGGCTTCTTGCACCTGCTTTGCCGCGGCCCAGAATCTCAACGGCCTCAAAGTTGATGTGTCCATTTGCGCGGCATGGGTTGCTACCTCCACACGGCCAAATTATGCTCGTGCATTCGCGTTTGCAGCCGTCAGCCGGTTTGCCCAATGTAGTTGCACTTCCCGCAGCTGCAATGAAGTCGGTAGACAACGGCCGACGTCTCCTGCTTAGGGATCGGGTCTTTTGGCCGCATCACTTGTCGGCGGATTATTGAGTCGGGCCTGTGGGCAACGCCTATCCCGAACGGCGCGAGGGATCTAGCCACGGCTTTGGAGACCCCTTTCATGTATGGAACGATGACTATGCTTCTCACTCCGCTTCCTTGGTTGTCTCCGACTCCTTTCAACGAATGCTCGCGGATAGCCGTTGGCTCTGAAGAGGGCTTGGAGGAGCTTCATCTCGTCTAGTTTGGCGGCTGGCGTGCTGCAGTGAGTTGCCACCCGTCGGTGTAGTGTGCGTACACAGCTTTGTTTGTGTTACTGTGGGTGTTTGCTGTTGTAACTGGGCATTTGCAGCGTGTCCGTCTGTTTTCTGTAGACCGATATTGCCAGTTTGCCGTCTGGTCGGCGGCAGACGAGAACATCCAAGAATGGAGGTTTGTCCTGCACTTCTTCTTCCATCGAACTGTAGATCGTGAATGATTGAGCTCAGTAATTCCCTATAGTAG